CATGGGTGCTGGAGCAGTCGTGTCTGTGGAGTGGTGTTCAGTGAGGTGTTGTTGCTAGTGGTGTGTATGTTCAGTTGTTGTTGTGCAAGTGGAGTGCGCAGCGGTAGCGTGTCTGGAGCCCCGGTTGGGGCTCCGCTACCATGCAACTGCGGTGGTAGCAGGTTCTGTGGACACACGAAGTTCCCCAGAAACGAAAGGAGCGGACGAAGTCTCCTTTTTCGCGGCCGATGCTGAGCTCTCGAGTACCCGCCCTCTGCAGGTGAAAGGATTCGGAAAACATGGGTTGACAGCTGATCCTCAAGTACCTTGGTTCGGTACCGGTGTTTCCCATCCCAAAATGAACAGAATATCGACAAGGGAGGTCAAGCCACGAGTTTGGGGCTCCAGATTTGTGACCCACAGCCAAGTCAGTTGAAGACATTTGGATCCCCATATCATCGGACCATATTACAGATACTTAAACCGTATTAGATACCAAACCATATTGGTGACCACATATGGATGTGGTTTTGAACCATCGCCGATGGTCAAAACCAGCTGTGGGTTTAAAACCTGGAACCACACACTCACTACCCTTGCAGCTTGCTCAAAAAGACTCCCGTAGTCTAGAACGGGTTGGAAGTTGGACCTCTTGTTCGGAAGTTGGACCTCTTAAACCCTAAAACATCCTAGACCCTTGAAGCGAAGCTGGACCGAAACCCTTCCTCCAGGTCGTGAAGCTCTCTGGAACCGAGTTCCGCCGACGGCTGCGCGCCGGCGAGGAGAACGAGTTCTCCACGGGGCGGGCCCCGGGGTGGTGCGTTCGCCGGGTGGAACGGTCCAGAGGGGAAGCACCAGGGAAGGGGCTCCTGGAAGGTTTTTTGGGGCTCTGATCGATGTGTTGTGAGCTACCAGCACCTTCAAACGGGTCACCTGGCTGGAAACCCCTACACTCCTACACTAAGGGACCTCCAGTGGACACCCCTTGAAGGTCCAGGTACAGGGAACTTTTCATATGGCAGCGTTATTGACCAGGACCCGACACCTGTCGGGGTGTCTATGTGAATAACCCCTGAACGCTACGCTGTGATTCGGAAGTGTCCATGAAATAGCCCGACTGGGGGTGCTGGTATCTTTTTTGTTTGTCGGATGTTGCAGTTCTCAGGTACCATTCGCCAAAAGGTCATGTTGGTCTTTTTGAGACCTTTTAGGGGGTACTGTCCTGATGACACCATGGTCTAGCAGTCTAGGATGAAAGAAGGCACAGCAGGGGTGGATGGGGGAGATCTGGAAAAGGGTGAATCAAACACCTGCCAAAAATGAGTCATATGAGCATGGCATAGCCACCGTCAAGGCCACTTGAAAAGCAAGTTCCCTCCATCCACGCTGCTACCGTGCTCCCTTCTCTCCCGACTCCCTCATGTCTCGCGTCTCCGAAACGCGCGTCTCGCGCGAGGACATCCCCGAGTGGTTCGCCTTCAAGTCGGTGGCCGCACGCTGAGTGTTTTGCTGTGGTTCCTTCAGAGGCACAGGAAAGCTATAAGGCAACTTGAATATGCTCTTTGATCACCTCATTTGATCCCTGATGCAGCTGACATCAATGTCAGTCACCAGATACCAAGCCACAGATCGTCCAATTTTCTCATCCTCTCATCCTCTCCTTTTCCATTCGAGGTGGACATCCTCCGAAAGGCTGGTGACAGCGCCTTCTGCGCCTAAGTGGTTCGGCAGAGGTGACTTTGCTGCCAATCCCAGTGGCCAGGGCGGAAGAACGGCGCAGAAGTTGGTCGAGTTTCAAGCCAAGCAGCTGACATCATGCCGAATCCGCCCTTGTCACACCCAAAATTGTGTGCAACTTCCTGTGATTTGACAGGAGTGGCTGCTGAATCTGCCTGGAAATTGAGATCAAGATAGACTAAGCAGGAAGCAAGCACTGAAGACTCCTAAACCCTAAGCAACTTTCCACCAAGCTAGGTCCCCGGCCTACCTCATGACTAGCCTGTTGAGGTTGGCCTCAAGAAGCAGACCGTCACTGCGCTCCGCATTTGTTGTTGGACCACTATGAACCAACTTGAAAGACCTTTTCGGTGTGGGGTTTAGTCACTGAACGGCAAGCTGGTGATATTGCTTAAGCTTTAGGCGTGGGAGGAAGAGAAGCCAGTCGGGCGAAGAGGACTGACATGTCTATAGATCCCCAGCGACGGTTTTTGTTCGGCTGGAAGTAAATTTATTCCACCCCCGTGAAGCCACTGCCGATCTGGCGCGGAAAGAACAGCTTCCATGGCAGAGCAAAGCAGCGGCCTGCTTTTCTTTGAAGCCTTGGGGGCAGAAGCTCGCGGGTTCTATGAGGATCAAGTTAGAGTTCAAAACCATACAAGGACCTTGTTTTTCGCACCCTGCAGCAGCTCAGCAGGTGGGGTGGATGGATGACAGCGTATTCTCAGGTTCCTGTTCCAATATGACAAACTGTTTGCATGTTTGAAGATGGTTCCGTCCCACCGCATTTCCGGTCCAAAGAACCATTCCGAACGACGCCTTTTCTTGTTTTGTTACCAGTGGGCTTTTGGTCGCTGTCAAGACCCGTCGCTGTTGGCCCCAAATACAGATTTGTTTGACGATTTACGGCTTAAGTCTACAAACATCGCTCTTTACCAGGGGTCTAGTCAGTCTGGCAAGTCCTCCTAAACTTGAACCTTCTTCAACATTGGATGCATGACTTGTCAATGGACTAACACATAAATCCTTCACTGACTTCTATCATCTTCTCCATTTGGCGCCCCAAAATTGTTCAAGTCTTCAGAACCGGTCGGACTGGCCGTGTATCCTCGGAGCGGCGTTCAAACGAGCGACCCTGAGAGAGGACGGTCGGGACGACCTTCCGCGACGACCCCTGAAATTCTGCTTCAGAGCCAATACTAGCACCAGTGCGATGAACCCATGGCATTGCCTTGAACACCTTGACACAGAGGGAAATCCCAATGAACGAGTTTCGTTTCTCTTAGACGCCGATTTTTGATTTTATAGACCCATCCAGTGAATGGATCATGGAGAATTCAGGACCCCCTCTCCAATAGGCATCACTTTAAAGCTCCCGATTTAGTCGTGTGTCTTCACGGGAGTTCCACCTTCCAAGTTCGAGAGGAGACTTTCAGTTTTGTTCTGCATGCTATCAAGAAGGATCATGAGCATGCCAAGTGGAGGTAAGATGAAGTCGGCATGGCATGGCCTTTCCAACGGGTCCCTTCAGTGGTTTGCGGCTGACACTTCTGCTGTCACACCACAGCAAGCGTTTTTGCATCCAGGTACACATAAGTAGGCCAACTCACCCCTCCTGTCTACACGACTGACGAGAAATATGATACGACATCGAACATATCTCAAACTGATGTGGTGTCCCCAGTTGCAGATCGTTCCGAAGATGCTGAAGGCATTGCCGGTGCCGTTTCTCGAGGTCCTACCCTTTGAAGAGTTTTCCCCCGACCAATCCGACGATTGATCCGCGCGACCCAAAAGAGAGAGACTGAAGCGACGGTCGGGTTGCCGTGCGACATTCCCCAGACATGACCCATGGGACTGCCGATCAGGGGTGGTTTTGGGGATATACATATATGGCAGTCCCATGGAGCGTTTGGGTTCTGGGATGTGCAGGAAGAGATGTGCCAAGCTGGCTTGCTGGCAATGAATTCTTTGAAAATCAGACACAGCATAGAAGCTGAAGCTGATGAGATCTCGTCCAGTGTCATGGAGGCGTCAAGTGGGTAATCAGATGGGGTGGACAAGCACTGGTCATTCATCTACAAACTCGACTTCCAATGTCTTAGACACGGCTGGACTGGACACTCCACGTCATGAGCAGCCAGAGATTGGTGTCTTCTGATGGCTCGTAGACAGGGATTAATGGTTGGACTAGATAGATAAAGAGTAAGACAGGATACACCTTACTATGTAATCCTGTATCTTGGCAAGATATCCTGTCTATTCCTGTATAAGGCCAGCAAGATATGGCAAGATCTCCACCTTACAGGACCTTCGTGCCGGCAGGCAGAGTAGGTTCCTCACCACCACAAGCAGTAGAGATGAGGTTTCTTACTTTCCAATCCTGTGCATATAATATATACCCACCTTTGACACTGCAACAACAAGTACTTTTTTTAGCCGCACATATAAACAAGCTCCAAACATACGGTGTATTCGACACGATATAACCCAGTGATTTCAGCTGCTTCCACCAACAAAATGTGAGATAGGAATGCAATATTAACCTAACCTATACTGAATCAAGAACTGAATATGTACTGTATCCATTTGTGCTGCTTCCACAGGGGTCGAACTGCGTCAGGGACCAACTTGCTTGGTTGGACCACTCTCCAAGTTGCCATGGAGGGTGATGCTCGCTGTGCGCACTGCTCGCCGCCGGGGCTCTCAGCTGAAGTGCCAAGTAATCAATGGACGCGCAAAGACCGGCAAAGCATCCATCCGCGTGGAAGATTGGAGGGCGCCCTCATGCTCATTCGTTCATTCTCAAAAGTACAGACGAGGGATTCAGCAGCTTGAGAGAGGTTTTGAGGCAATTTTGACTAAGTGAGGTTGTGTGAGGTGGTCTCGTTGGTTGAGCGAACAAACCGGGATGTATATATATAACTGCAGTTATGTCTCAGTATCACTGGACCGCGCGTTCCTGTGGGTTTTGATTGACTGAGGGTCTCCCTTTGTGGCGGATGGCTGCGTATCGGGTAGAGGCGGCAGCACTAAAACAGCAAGCGAATAGTAAGCCTGGCCCAAAGGTCTTGAGAGAAGATGCAGGTGTCTTGAGAAGTGCAAGCCAGCTTACTGATAGTACTAAGAACATTGATTGAACAACAAGTGGACCATCGTGGTCCGGGGTGGGACCATGCCAGTGGCCCTCTTCTCTAAAAACATCGAAGGAATAGGAGCTTCACCAAGGTCCATTCCTCTTCAGGGCCCTAGACATCCCTCAATCTGACCCAGTACGGACCCGGACCGCTGGCCCCACCGCCAAGGCGTCGTCGCCCACACGGCGGGCGTCGGTGTTGTCGAGGCCATGGAGAGACGAGGGGAGGGCGAGGGCCGGGGCGGAGGTTTTCTTCATGGTGCCTATGACAAAAGCGACTGGGTGGACAAGGTGACAAGGCATTGCGTGTCATATGGCAGAATGTAGTGTATATGACCTGGCAACCTGGCGGAAGTTTGGCTCATGCCCTTTTTGGCCTGTTTTTGTGCCTGGACGGACATTTGTGCTGCTATTCGCGGCTTCAGATCCCATGTCTGAGCCTGCAGCTGCAGGTTTGTAGACTCCAAACAAGACAGTACATCGCCAACCCATTTGCAATCTTTCGATCAGCGCGTCTTTTCCTGCGCCAGGCCACCCCCACTGGGATCACCGCGCCCCGGAGCCCCCCGCGTCGAACGGTCGTCGAACGGTCGGCGTCGCTTCCGGCGTCAGGGGACCAACTCGGTGGCCGAATGGACGAAGGCCGTGCAAGCGGCGTGCAAGGCGCGCGCGTGGGGAGAACGCGGCTTTAAGTGCGGTCCGAAGGTGGACGGGATGGTGAACGCCGGATTTGAGGAAGAAAGGAGCTTGGTGGTGCAGATCGAGCCGTGTTGTTGGTCAGGCTGGATTTGGTGGAAGAAAGCCTCGAAGAAGCTCCTTCTTCGCATGTTTTCCATGTCTGGAAGCTCACCACTGCAGGGGGAGCCATAAACCAGAAGCCCTGATAGGAAGAGAAAGACCCAAACCGGTGGATGATAGTGGTGCAATCATCATCTGATCTATGGATAGCTAGGTTGCAAAATAGGGAGACTCCAGGACATGTTAACTTGTACATACTTGTACTATATCGGCGTTTATAAGACTCTTTTGCAACTCCTATGTTTGCCTTCAATGCAAATGAGCAGTATCAGAACCTGAATCCCAACTCTATCCATCTCCCTATTCTCGCGAAACTTCCATAAACAGAAAAGGGACTCGGGGAGTCAGTCAGACACATCATCTGTGCTCGTTCATACATGGAGGACTTCTTAATTGGTATTTGGTTCTGGTACGACCCGTCTGGGACTCCCGGACTCGACAGCCCCAGACAGACCCAGACAGACCAACCACCACCCCAACGCCAGGTCGGCGGCGCGTGGCCGGCGGCGCCAGGGGATCCCGGGGATCACGACGAAGCGGCGAGGCCTCTGGTTTTCTTCCAGATATCCGACAGACATCTGAATATGACACATGTTCTAATATGCATTGATTATATGACCATATCAGTGATCATATATGGCATGTCCCTTTTGATGAAGATGATCTACATTATAAACCAGTGCGGTTCAGGTGGTCATGTGGATGCACACGAACCATCGTGAACCACTATGAACCACGGGTCATCGAAGCTCTTTAGGCCTCTTGAGACGGCTGTTCCCAGTATGGGAACTGAACCTGAGCTCCAAGTAGACTTGACTGCAGCGCAAACATGCACATGAACCACTTCGATCCCCTCAACATTAGCATGGGTCCCCGGCACATCTACAGCACATCTGCATGGTGCTCCATGCTCCATGCTTGCCCCCACTCCGACCTCTAGCAGTTGTAGAACACACGCCCTCCTTGCCCCCGTTCCACACGAGCCGAGGCTACATTTGATCGGTCAAGCACTCAAGGCACCTCCGATCCGATCCGATCCTCCTGCTCGATGGGAGGGGGGGAGGGCTGTGCCGTGGGCGAAACGCTGTGCTGCTCGAGGGTCTGGAAGAGTGAGACCACCAGACGATCCGCAGAGTGCGGTGCGGATCGCCGTGCGTGCTGCGGATCGGATAGAAGACGACGCCGAAGTATGATGGCCGTGGCTTTGTTTGGTTTTCCGGCGGGTTGGGATGGTTTGGGATGGTTTGGTTTTCTCGGAGCATGATCTGTCTCAAGAAGTGGACCCGAGATGGCTGAACAAAGGGGCAGCTGGACGACGAGGGGTTGGCCTGAAAAAAAGATGGAGGCGGTAGGGTAGGCGGTAGGCGGTTTATTGGACCATCGTTCCATACATTTTGGGAGGTGTCCTTCTACAGTGTGAAATGTTGATTGGTCGTCGATCAAGCATGAGATTCTTTTACTGCAACTCGACCGTCGTGATCGATGGTCCTTTGTGATCTCCCCTCTGGTCGCCTTGAACGAAGAATTGAACTCCCAACTTCGATCACCTTTGAGGCTTGAGTCATAGCATCGGCACGGTCACAGGTGATACCGACATCGGCAAGTTACTTGGTTTTACTGGCCGTGTCTACTGGGTAAGCCGGCAGGCAGGTGGGCCTGGATGAAGCTGGTCTAAGTAGCACTGCAGGACAAACTGGTGAGCTGGTCCCGTGTGGCCACGCATCCTTTCCGAACTGGCAGGACTTGACGAGAGGAGACGAAAGGACCTGACCTGCACATGGAGGGGCGAACGGGGAGGCAAAAGATGCTGGGGAAAGTGACGTTTTGGTTATAGAAGAAACAGGTCTTGCGACCACAGGTCTTGCGACCACAGGTCTTGCCTTCCTCCTCCCCACGGATCCACACAGATCATCACAGATCTCAGTGGCAGAAGAGGACCAGCTCTGAAAACACCCTGCCTGTGGGCGAGTCCGTGGTTGCAACAGACGGCTGGTCAGTCTGCCCAACCCAGGACTGATACAATGAGAATCCATGAGATATAAGGAGATACAGTACCAGATTACAACATCACTTGTGGACAGTGATTGCAAGGGTCTTTTTGGGGGAACTTTTCGACGGCAACTGGACATAGTGGCACACAACATAATCGTCCCTATGTCCCTATCTCTCAATACTTGCAGACCTTCAGATTATCTCAGGATCCGAACAAATTAACAGTTGACAAATTCAAGGGCGATTCAGACGAACTCGTCCACTAGGAATGGCCTTCCTTCCTTCGGGCCCAAACACTCGTCGGAACCTGTCGTGACGAGGCGAACGCCTCGCAGAAAGACGATGTGTTTGGTATGTTTTTTCCGTGAAGAGGTCGAACCAGGTCGACCATCCGTGACCACACTTCGAGAGGATGAAAGACAAGTCATATCGAAACGATGGGATTCGCCAGTTCCGCCTCCCGTCGCCGGTTCCGATTCGCATTGGCCCCCGTCCTTCTGTCTCGGGTCCTTGGGCGACCGCACGGCTCGTGTGGCCCATCTAAGCCTTGCTTAGATAGCCGGTTCGGCGCGTAGAAGTGTGGCACCAGGCGGGGTGGAGACCTGGGATGAGCGCCGGAGGAAGCAGGGCCGGTCCCCAGAAATCGGCATTCGCGCAGTCGATGCCTTCCCGTTGGTTCTTCCACCGCGCAGCAAGAATTTCTGGAATGCGCTTCCCACAAATTGGATGAGCCACATTCAAGTCGGGGATCTATTTCTGGCCCGTGGTTTGATTGTGAATAAACACCTTGTGGGTTTGGACGATGAGCTCTTCGGCGACATGTGACCAAAGGTGGAGGCTTTCATTTCTGTATTGAGCTACAATTGCTTGGGGTAGAGAGGGTAGCACTCGCGCACGGGTTTGTTTGCACACTGCGGTGCTTGAGTGGACGATTCACCGTTTTCTGGAGGAGCACCTCATTCAGGAGACTTTATGGTAGTTTTTGAACTTCTGCTGAACTGTACTATGTAAGACTCTATGTAAGTATAATATATGTCATTTTCATGCACATTCTATTGCCTGTGTGGCGGTTTATAGGCATCTTGATCCTCCACTCCACTCCTCATTTGGTTTAGTATCGTTTTAACACCACGGCCAGTCATCTTCGCGTGCCGCGTCGTTGCAGGGATGGTGAAGACGGGCCAGGTGGAGCACGACGGGCTCCGAGCCGAGTGAAAACCTCTTGGTCTATAAGAGCTTCTGGTGGTTTTGCCAAAGGTGAGGTGTTTTATTATTTTTTAACACATTGACATTCTTTTATATTCTTTTATAAAACCATCACATGGTGCTTCTGAAACATAGTGAAACAATAGCTGTAATTGGATTGGAGGTGAGTTATTTTTTTTGCATGTTGCTTCAATCCATTGCGTAAGTTCGTGGTCAGCTTGGTCCGTTTGAGACCCTCGGATCAAGATTGCAGGCTAGCATAATCGTCAATCACGGTGAATCACGGTGTCAAGACAAGATACATTTCTGGTCAAGCTACGACGGAACACTTACCCTCGGAACAGAAGGGACACATCCAGCGACCTCGTGTTGAAGAATTGGTGACCGGTCGCTGAAAACCTATAGGGATTTGTTCCACCCCAGGCGCCCTCTACAGTTTTCTGTCTGACCCCTACTTCGGAGGCTAAAGATGGCGCGTCTACATGGGTGTGGTACTAAAATAGGGACCTCCCAGAGACCTCAAGGAAGAAAACACAAATAGAACAAAACCCATTGAACCGATTGGTTGAGGATCCTGAAACAAAACACACCCACATGATGGCCTTTTGGGAGGGTTGGTCGGTGGTGCTGTGTTTTGGTTCCATCCGAAGTCTCCAGCGGTTGGGACCAGAGCACTGGAGAGCTGGAGGGACTGGAGACTTCTTTGCTATACCTAGCAGCCTATGATAGGGGACTAAGGATTCCAAGATCTACCAAGGAGTGATCACACAAACTGATTCGCATCGATCTGTTTTCCATCATGGCTTCCATCATGGACGTCATCCTTCCCTTTGTTACTGGAACAGCTTTTTCCTACCAACTCCGTCGTGTTGGGAACATTCTGCGCTGGCGGCATGAGGATCGCCCCCTCCAACTCTGGTCGCATGACCATGCCTTTTTTTTTGCTGGTTGGGTGGTCAAACCCAGACACTGGGATATCTTTACACATGCACATGGATTTTAAAACCATGATAAATTAATGTATATAATGTAATGTATATGTAATTAGATGTATTTCCCCAAACAGGTTTACCTGTGAGGGGTTCTTACTCCTTTTAGGGGGGTGCATGCTCGGGCCGGATGATTTTGAGTTTGTCTCCGGGCTTGTGTTCCTGGCCGCATGATTTCACCCTTGTCTCCCACTTGTCTCCCACTTGTCTCCCAGTAAGCTCTGGATGCTCTCAGTGCTCTGGCCGCATGATTTTGTACTTGTCTCCCATTTGTCTCCCACTTGTCTCCCACTTGTCTCCCAGTAAGCTCTCGATGCTCTCAGTGCTCTGGCCGCATGATTTCAGGCTTGTCTCCCATTTGTCTCCCACTTGTCTCCCAGTAAGCTCTGGATGCTCTGAGTGCTTGACCGCATGATTTCACCCTTGTCTCCCACATGTCTCCCACTTGTCTCCCAGTAAGCTCTCGATGCTCTCAGTACTTGTCTCCCATTTGTCTCGCACTTGTCTCCCACTTGTCTCCGAGTAAGCTCTGGATGCTCTCAGTGCTCTGGCCGCATGATTTTATACTTGTCTCCCATTTGTCCCAGTTGTCTCCCAGCCAGTAAGCTCTCGATGCTCTCAGTGCTCTGGCCGCATGATTTCAGGCTTGTCTCCCATTTGTCTCCCACTTGTCTCCCAGTAAGCTCTGGATGCTCTGAGTGCTTGGC